AATGGAAGACCATTAGGTGAAGTCTAAATTTTGATTGTTTACTGATCCCAGGAACCAGGTAGTCGAAAAATGTTGTCAAACAATTACAGATAACAATATCGCCAGAGTTTATTCGCTAAACTAACAACTGTTTTTTGGTCAAAACAGCATCGCCAAACCACGTCTAATAATTATTATTTTTAATTTTAAAATAATATTATACCATAAGAAGTAAGGTTGGGAAAATAATTTAAAACATAACTACTTAGGATATTAAATAATTTTTGTTTTATTTATTATTTGTCTTATTACGAATTCATAAATATTTATAATAGGTAAATGTTAAAATTATTGATATATTAGGCATAGGCTCTATTATAGTATTAGTATTTATAAAATACATACTAGATACTTAATTTATTTGAAAAACAAAAAGCGTTAATGATTTATTTAAATCATTTATAATCTTAAATTAAGGTACCTAATCTTACCTATCAGAATATAGTATCTAAGATATTCATTTATCTATCGACTTTTGCCATCATTAATCGCATGATGTATTTAAATTTTTGTGTGTAAAATGAAACAGAAATATATAATTTACATTCACTAATTATGCGTATTAAATAAATATCATATTAAAAAAAAACATATAAATATAAAAATGTTAATTTTTCTATCATATTTGAGTAATTGACAATATTATTAAAGCCAATATTTGTTTACTATTTAATAATTTATATCATACGAATTACCAACTAATACCTCAGTAGGTACAATGTGCCAATAGGTAATAATTATATCACCCATACAGTTATACAAAATATGATTTTAGTATTTTGAAAAAAACAAGTAGACAATTGATAATAGATTTGTATGCATGATAAAATAAATGAATTGCAAGCAAAAAAATTTACCTGGTTAGACTATTTGAAGGCATTACAAATTTTTACCTGATATATTTTATTACTAATTGTTAAAAATACATTTTTTAATTATAAACAAATAAACAACAAAACCAGTAGTTTTAATTATGTCAATATTAATACATTTATATTTCCAGTCCTAAGTCTGAAAAATGAGAAGGAAAATATTGATTTTGCAAAAAAATTCTGAAACGTAATTTTTACGTGTGTATAAAATATACCCGGGCCGCAATTTACCCCATTTACTGATAGTGATTATGAAATTTGATTTCAAAACGCTTATTAAAAAAAAAGGAAAAAAAGTCATCCGTGTTTTTATAAAATAATGAAATCGTGAAATCGTACGTTTTCCTACTTAAGTGATGTCATTTAAAAAATGACTCCTTTAAAGTACAATCTAGACAACTTGAGCTTTCATACAAGTTGCTACACGTAAAAATCGGAGCAAGTTTACTATGAAAAAACGTGTCCACAGACTATAACAAAGAAATAACATCTGAGTAAAACCAATAGCTACCTTGCTATGCTCGGAATCTAAAATTATGAGAAAAATGAAAAATATTTACGGCACGTCGCGACGTTATCGATTTCATTATTTTTAATTTTTGTAAACTATGTTTTTTATCAGAAATATTACTCCAATATAAAAACGACAAAAGACCTTTATTGTTGCGTTTTTAATCTAGTTGGTGAATTAATAACTCATGGTTTTAAAAATTAAACAATTTTATACCTACCCTACCCAAATTAACACCAACAAAATTCGTACACCCGTTAACATTTTTTTTTTTTTTTTTTAAATTAGTCTTTTAATTTTGAAATATTCATACTTACTAAAAGTTAAAAAGCCGTCTTTGGATAATGGAGACGGATGAAGCCACTGTTATAGGTAATTTAATGTATATCTGTAAGCAACGATAAACCATTGCTAACGAAAAAACCGATTCCGAACACAATTCAAATGATATTGATGTTTTGTCAACAATATATATGTCATATTATGGTAAAATAATTAAATTTATTTATTTATTTTTAAAAGTTAACGCCAAGGTTTGGTTTAAGTTAGGTTAGGTAAAAGGGAAAAAGTGCAAACCTTTTTTTTCGAAATACGGGTTGGAACATTCGACCCTTAGGATAACGATTGCTATGTATAAGTGTATAACCATTCGAAAAATATTAAAATATAGAATTATTTAACACAAAAAATAATTTCCGCATATCAGAACATCAAAAAGCTATAATTTCGAAACTTAATTAGTCCGCTAAATTCCGACTTCACCGCCGTTCTTACATCGGCAATATAGGTTCAGAAAAAAAAAATATATCGTTATAAAACATAAAACATTTTAAAAGTAAAATAAATGATACAAATAAAGTTAGTACCTAATAATAAAGAAATACATTATGAATTTGATTTCTTTTTCTGTTGGCTTATTTTCTTTAAATTTTTGTTTTGTTTTAGTAAAAGTTTTTGATAACAAAAGTGTATAGGCATTTAAATTTGAAATTAGACTAATAAGTATCTATTGAATTATATATTATACAAATTATGAACTATACAACTGTGTGTTTGTCATGTTCCATATTATTTTAATCATCTCAACACAACATAGTGTGAAAATTTTACTTAATCGTTATTTTTCTCCTATATGGTTTGAATGTGTACAACATATAAATATGTTGAATTATGATTTTATATACTTACTACATAATTAATCAATATGTCCTTCACTCTAAATGATGTATTTAAAAGTCCTTAGCTCAATAAATCAAATATGAACAAAGCCCTCATAAAGTATAATATTTAATGATATAAAAAATAAAAAAAAACTGTTTAATTGAAATGTTAGAACATCCTCTGAATTAATTTTATAATTTAGGGAAACAATAAATCATCTATTTCAACAAAACCAATAAACACATATTTTTATATCTTACTCGAATAATTATTATAAAATAACTTATATTTACATATCCCTGAACCAATAAGTTTCATAACTTTCATTTAACTTGGAAACTCAATTATCTTGTAAAAATATATAAAAACAAAATATATCTTTCCAATATAATATACCAGCAAATAAAGTAGAGTACAAATCATAAATCTCTGTCTACTAATTTAATAAGCCAAAACTTTAAAACGTAATAATGTTTTCTGTACATAATTTGTGTATACCATCATTATATAAATTGTATATCATTGTAATTTAATTTAAATATTGCCAAAAATAGTAAGTAGAAAAAATTATTTAATTAATTTTAAATTGCTCCTCAACAAATTTATTTGATAATTCCCCTAATTAATAATGTAAACTAGTCCTACAATTACCCTGTAATTGAAGTTATTATCACTTTTTAATATATTGTCCAACATTTTTAAACTAATTATAGTTCTGTACATATTAGTTATGTTTTTACCCTAGCCAACTTAAATTCCCCTAATCTAATGGTATTAATTTCCAGTATTTTGTGGGCCTGCCCCAAAATTAAATATAAATAAAATAATAAATTATAATGGAAATTTAAAAATAAATTACTATCTTAATGACAAATTTATAAATAATAACTAGGTATTTTATATTCTTGAAATAATTAATGCAATTACTGAAAATTATGTATAAATTCAATGACCAAATATTTAAAACCACAATTTTGTCTGGAATAATTTTAAAAAACTTAATTTTTTAGAATAATGAAATATGACATATTTATCTAACGGTTAATAGAAATATCACAATAAATATAAAATCCTATTTTGGGCAAATGGTAGATAAACAATTAAATTAACATACCTAAGGCCTAAAGTTATATATTTTCTAACTTATGTTTAACTAAAATAATCAATGCATAAAATTTTAAAATAGTGAAATATTAAGTAACGTAAACGTATTTAATTAAAATTAATAACATGATTATTTTTTTTTCATCATTAATACGACAATAATTACATCTTACCCAAGTATTTATACACCTCTCAGGAATATGATAACCAACGATATTGTTGGATTCTGAATAGTGACTTGTGAACGAGTGAACGTTAGTGGAAAAAAGAAAAACTGCGAAAATAACCTTCACCGTGCGGATACATTCCTATACAGTCCTCATTCTTCAGTACAGCTGCGTTTCAATTATTGCTACATCGAAATTAGGTAGAGGTACTAACTCACTGGGCCACTTTCTAATACATAATAATATATCTTTTATCGACGGGCAGATAAACCATATCAGCTACGAACAATTTATAATCACACCACAGAACTGTGTATTGCAAATTTCATGGAGAACAAAATAGTACCATATAGTCTGAACCAGCGCTCTTTTATATCAACAAATGACAGTGTAGATACAAGTTTATTTACATCGTGCAACGAACATTAAACCATACATATCTAATGATTTAAGATACATACAATATATTACATGAACTACAAGATATAAGTTATCTTATAGTTCAATGATAATATACCTATTAACTATGCCATGAACATGAACTTAGAATTTTTAGAAACACTATTTGAATATATCCTAAATCATCAAAATCACCCACGATGATACCCAGAATTATAGATACTATAATCGTGACATTACCAACTATTACAATGCAATAAACCTTTGGCCTATAATTATTAGTTTTACCTTTGCTATTTTAGTATTATATTTATATAATACTATATTATGTTTTATCAGGAAAAAGTGTTTATAGTTATTATTCATTTTTTTTTTGTACCTTTTTTACCTATTACTGGCAGATTGGCCAACCAGTGAATTTCCTTATGGGACAATAACTAATACGATAACTTAAATAAATTTGAATTAAAGTAAAATGTTCTAATACAAGTGATATTCAATAAAGTATAAAAAATTAGGAAAAGGATTTTTCAATAGATAACCTATCTACTTTATTATTTAACATTTATAATTTTTGTTTTTAATATTAGTCATAAATCATATTTGTACAAGGCCTTAATATGAACATAAACATAATATGTGACCTCTATATCTAAATCTTGTAAGCTTTTTTTTATTCAATCTTCATCATAAAGATTATATAAATTAAAGTTATACTAACATAATCAAAATACTGACACAAGCAGTGGCAGTAGTGAACTTATTATTTCAATGACAGTAAAAAAGGTTCAACACCCATCTACTCATCTTCCTTTTTATATAAACACAAAATATAAAAAAAAAACGCTTACCAAGTCAGAGATCGGCATGTGAACTTTCATGATTTTTAAATTTTAATCTAAAGAATAAAGTATCTTCCATCATGTACTACACATGGTACATCAAGTATCTTGTAACTACTCAACCATAAACATCAGCATTCAATGCCCACCCACCCTTCTTTCCATGATGCAGCTGTGTCAGTTAAACCTTGTTCACACCACCACTGCATAAAAGTGCTACATATAAACACTGATGAATTCATAGATATAGTACATATTCATAGACCTAATAAATATTAACTAATGGATGGCGCCTAGCAAGAGCTATTACAAGATGTTCTGAAGCAAGAGAGAGAAAAAAGCATTTAGGCCCTACATCTTTTAACATTAGACAGCACACCATGAGTGACTACAACCCCCTCTATAGTCATGCATACAATATAGAGAAAGGAAATACATAGTATGGACCATAACACTTCCACTCTATATTGTCTGTATGGTTGATAGGCAGGGTCGAAGAGGAACTGTCCATTTGTTAATAGGTCTATATATGTCAATGAACACAGAATATATAAATGCATTTTTCATTTTTAAAGAAAAAATGTATAAACTTATAAGCTACAGTGTATGCAGTGTTTATAACTATATATTATATTTACAAAACAATAGTAATTATTGTAAAAACACTTGATAAGCATTTTTTTTTTTTTATATAAATATAATTAAATAATATAACTATATTATTATAGTTGGATAATAAAATGAATATATTTTTAATTAATAATATAATTATAAAAAAAAAACGTTAAATAAATTTAATATGCTATTACTATAAAAATTTTAATTTGCATGTATTTGATTAAAAATAAGTTTACAATAAACAAAAAGGATGTATATACAAGAAGCTGGATTTTCTTTCATTCACTTTTATATGACACTGCAGCCCCCAATTGTGTCACAAAATTAATTAAATAAATTGGTTGATCAAATATAAGAAGATAACATCATTATCAATAGCAAAATAGTTTATTCTAATTTTGCTTGAAAAAAAATTGGTAAAAACAAGTTATGATGGTATGTTGACAGTAAATTCGTGTTAATTAATACCTATGTAGTAACATACGAATATAGGTACATACTATATCATTTTAAAAAAAAAATGTTACGTTTGATGTTTTATTAATTTGTATTTATTTACGAAGCCCAATTAGCTAATTCTTTCATATCATCATCATCTTCTTCTACTACTTTGGTTTTTGCTAAAAATTAAAAAATCAGTATTAATATAATATATATAAATACATAATTATACATAATAATTGTACAACAATACCTTTGCCTCTGCCACTGGGCTCGGATGCTGGCACTGCTGGTGTAGGCAAATCTGTAACTGGTGTATTGCCAGTGTTCAACAATTCTTTATCCAATTCTTCTTGTTCTAGTTCTTCCAATTCCTTTTGTAATTCATCCTATTTAAGTAATAATATAATTAATAATTTAAATTGTATTATGTTAACTGTACATTTTCAATATTTTGCCATAGCTAAGAATAAACATAGGATCTTTGTCTGACGGGGTTTAGTGTTTTTACATTTTACATAGATACATTAAAAATATTAAGTGAAGAAACAAATAATCACTATAGAGAAAACTGAATGTTTTACTGTATCTATATTTAAATATATAATCTATACATAAGGTGAAAAAAAAACTGATACTAAGAATGGGTGCTGCTATTATTGTAGGTGGGAAGTTGGGATAATAGGATATAGATGGAAATTTAATTTATATCTGAACACAACACTTAATCACTGTGTAATAGAGTAAAAATATAGAAAAAGGTAGTTAAATTTATGATAAAGAGTATTATAAAGTGTACATAAAAGGGATACAGGTATGTGATAGTATTTAATATTAAGATATATTATTTGTTGATAGATACTTCTGGCATATCACCATTGTTAGAAAATAAAAAATACATAAATATCATAGTAAAACCAATGGATCCCTTGCTTCACTCAGAATCTAAAATTGAATTAATATAATAATCTCTAATAACAGTGTTAGAGTTATGGCTAAGGCAGTGAATTTTTAGGAATGTGCATATTTTTAGCTAATTAGTATCTTTCTTAACAAAAAACATGGTTCAAACTTTGAGACAAAATTTTCAATAAAATTGTGGAACTTTAATTTTACATTTTTGTCATTTTCAATTTTTAAGGTATTTTTTCCTTCAGTAATTTTACTAGTAGATAATTATGTTTTAAAATATTTTTACATGAATGACATATTTATTTTAATTTATACAAGCTACATACAAATAAATAATATGTAATTACGTTTGATTCTCACAATTAGATAGGTTAGGGTGAAAATTAATTGAGATATATCAGTAGTGAATTTCAAAGTAAGATTCCATTGAATTTTAAACTGCATTTTTAAAAATGTTATAACTCATTTAAATTGCATTTTACAATTTTTTTTTTTAACGTTTTATAGTAAATTCACAACCCTAGTTATAACTTATGAATAATATGCATCTTAATCATCTGTGCTTCAATGATGCCTTTTTTAATCGCCATTGAATTATTTATGAAAACAATGTTTCTCTTGTCTAGTTATCTATTTCATATTTTTATAGTTGTATTAATTATATGAAATTATATATTATTTTAAAAAAACTATTCTCTTACCCCTTTCCCTCTAATATAGTCTAATATAATGTTAATAAATAGTTTACATAATATATATTGTATGTTGAAAAGTATTAAAGTATTCAATATTAATAAATGGTATGTAGTTAAATTATGTAAAAAAACAATGTGTATTCTACCTCATCTACATCAGTTCCAAATGCTACAGGATTTGAAATGGCTTCTGATATTTCTTTTGATAAGTCTTGGCTTTCTGCTATATCATCCATCATATTATGAACATCATCAACATTCCTATATTAAAATTAGTTAGTTAACAAAAAAATGTTGGTATTTAATGAATAGTATCAAAAGTTTAATTACTTAATACACATGTAAATTATATATACATGCAAAATTAAATATTTAGCTTAAATTTACCTATTAAAAAAAGAAACTAAACTGATACTCAATGAATATATAAATATCGGAATGAAAATAGCATAAATAATAAAAACAATAAATTACATATAAAGCTCAACAAATTTGTTAAACTATTAGATACCGGCTAATCTGAATTGTATAAATAAAAATATGATCTCATTTAAGCTAATAATTATTGTTTTTCATTTTAGAATGAATGTTTAACTCTTTAATGTAATTTAATAACTCCAAAACATAACTATTATCTATATCAATGATAATATATTTATATTTACAAACATCTAAAATTGATAACATACAAATAGGAATGTATATACTTAGCCTAAAACTATCAATTATAAGTCAATTTACTTTTTTTTATGTTATTAAAACCAATTATTTTTAGTAGGTATGTATTGAAGTTAGAGATTAAAAAATAAAAAACCATCAACGAAAATAGGTAGAAGAAAAATAATAGAAAATACTCTATTTTCTCATTATAGTTGTTTAAAATGTAAGTGTAAAATGAGAATTTAAAATTGCATGTATTATTATTGTACCTACCTATGTAAGTAGACAAATTTGTAATGCATAACTTACATATTTTGATGTGCCGTTTTAAGTGCGTCTGCTGCCGTTTTCATTGTAGTTAATACAGCATTGTTTGTGTTTGCACCTTCTAATGCTTCTCGTTGTTGTTCAATAGTTAACATAGTACCATCAATTTGCGCTAATTGTTGTTCATAACGTTTCTTACGTTTCAATGCTTGCAATGCAGCTAAAAACCGATAAGAAAATATATAGTACATTTAACATATGTCACATTATATTTAAGGATTTGTATATACCTCGTTTATTAGTGGTACCATTTTTTTTTGCTATAGCTACTTCCTGTTCAATTTTTTTTTCTAAAAATTCTTGTTTTTTAATCAGCATCTCTTCCGTAGTTCGTAACTTTTGTATTGCATCTTCAGTTGATGGGCCTTTCTCTTCTTTTTTACCACCGAAAAGCTTACCCAGGAAACTCATTATTAAAACTTATTAACTGCTAAATAACACTTATAACATGAACGTATCAATAAATTGTCTCTGAATTTGCGTGTAACTAAATTATTAGAGAATAAAGATAATAGATTTTTATTGTTGTCATTAATCATATGTTTTTTACTTTTCCCACTAAGTGATTGACGAATTTAGAATTGATAACGTAATACCAAAGAAGCTATAGTTGTCAAGGAGGAAACAAAACGAGAAAAAGTAACCGCCATTTTTCATAAATAATTACATTGTCAGATATTCATTATTTAATGAAATGTGTTGTCTATATTCAGTATCGGTATTGTACTACTTGTTAAACCGCAACAGTACATTTGATTTAATTTCATTAGTTACTAGCAACGAACAATATAGGAGCGAAATTCGATCAGCTGATCGATTTTTATTTATCTATGATCTGAACTCTGAAGTGTGATTCAGTTTCCGTTAACCAATATTATTAATACATGTTAAAGCGCTAAAAATTAACTGTTTTAGTGCTACAACTTCCAAACCTCCTCGTAATAAATAATTAACTTTTTGATGATTACGCTAACGGCATCACGATAATTATAGACACTCAGTGAGCACTAGCTGCAGTGACGTAGATGACCAGCATTTTAATATGATTGGATATGTGGAGGGAGTTGAAAATAATTAGTTTTAATTCAAAATCATTATCGTTTGTATGGTCGTGAAGATGGCCCACCAACTTTCTCTCAAATCAATCTAACTCATACAACATTTAGCAAATAATTAGTAAGTATTAGTAAGTTAGGTTTAAAAATTTGCAAGTCATTATTTTCAAGTACAGAACAAAAATTAAGAAATTTGGGCAAACTTCACGTAGCCCACCTTTTTTCATCCACACATTCGAAACTGGTATAGTTCGATTCCTTATAATAATTATAGTAACTGTTAAAACATAGTTTCCCATGCTTAATATCATTCCTATTGTGTGAAAGTATATAATTCAATTAACAAATTTGTTGCTACTTAGTTTGACAACTTTCAAATTTTGTTGAAGATTATTTTGCGCGTATTCTATGTGTGTTCATAGTTTGAATATTAAAGAACTTAAATTACCTAAGTCTGATGACGATATGGTGGAGGCTAGAAATGGGGTATATATAAACTAATTTGGGGAGGGGGTGTAAACAATTTTTTGGGTTTTAGTTAGTACATAGATTAATGAAATTCATCAACGCACGTGTGCCGTATCAACCATACATTTCGAGGGGGTTTGAACCCCTAAAACCCTTCCCTATATACGCCACTGGCGGTGAGGTTGGCCAACCTTTCTTAATTTTTGTTCTTAACTAGAAAATAATGACTTGTAAATTTTTAAACCTAACTTGCTAATTCTTGTTAATTGCTAAATGGGTTAGATTGATTTGAGAGAAAGTGGGTGGGCCATATTAATGATCAAAACGTTTTTCAGGTAAAATTTGATACAATACTTGATTAAACAGTTTATCTGTTATTATTACAATTAATATAATATACTGTGTCATACAAAAAAGTATAAGTAGTAATGATTTTGTATTGAATATTGTAACTAAATGACTAAATATCAATTAAAAAGACAATAATTACAGGAAATTCATAAAGTTAGATTAATAAAGTAGATTAATTATAAAAAAAAATAAACAAGGAGATTCATATTCGTACCAACAAGCACGTTTCTACTCTCTGACAGACTGTACAAGCAAACCATCACTAGTCTGCTTCCTGTTATTTCTTTTTTACATAGTGTAGTGACGGTTGCGTCTTGCGATGTAAGAATTGCTAGACACTAGCGGTGCAGTCGAACATGAAGAATATCGCATGCCATTCTTACCAATGATAAAAATGATAAGTTATCATCATCAAAATTGTATTAATTCATTTCTAAAATATTATTCAATCGATGGAAGATTATCGAAATACTAATTATGCGTGATAGATATCTATAATGTGAATGTGATTTTGTGAGATAGTAAAAGCATTATGTTCATATGAAATAAAACTTCTATTATCTATAATATTAAGGATCCAAAAATTATGAGTGTACCGTGTACCTACAAAAATGCAAAATAATATTACACTGAATTATATATTTTACATTTTAATTTGTACAATACTATTGGCGATAATTTATACATTTGTTTTTGAGAATTAGCAGTATTTTATTTGTTTGCAACCAATTCATTATTTTAAATAATTAGATTACCTACTTGAAAAATACTTAACCATAATTTGTTTATTTGTTTGTGGATACTTAATGAGTAATTTCTTAGGAATGGAGGCACCAGGTGAGGAGAGGGAACTCTGGTTCCCATGAGATTTACATATCGGAGCTACATGGAATATATAGCAAGAGTTTAGAGTTGGGTAAAACTATATAAGAGTGTTTAAAATGGTGAGCTTCCCATGACATTTTAAAAACTTGCAAGCACCTAATTCTGGGTAACAAATTGATAAAGTGATCTAAAGTAGGGGCGTACCTAGGAATTTTGTATAGGATCCATCATTTTTATTTTATTTGTTATCTAATAGGTAATTATAATACAGTATAATGTATAAACCAACTGATTACTTTTAATAACGCTAAATAATCATAACAATAATTATACACATACAACGTCACACATCTATGCACACATTTACAAAAGGGTTAACTATTTAATGGGAAGGTACTGGATCCGAAATCCATACTAGTTGGGTATGTTCCTAACCTAAAGGCTAAATAATAGGTTACCTGTAACAATTTGATTTATCCCTTTGGTATTGATTTTATACTACTAAATACTTACTAACTAGTAACATGCATCATTATAGTATATATTATGTAACAATAATTATGTTTGTTTCAATTCAAGAATGTCGTATTCGGTTGAGGAACTTCAACATCTAGCAATTATTATATCGATCAGTTGGGATGGGACAATTTGATGAATTTTTTATGACTAAAATCAATAAAATTCTTTTATCGTTACTGAAATATGTACATTGTACTCATTATTTTATTAATCAGTTATTGATCTATACTTCGTAATTTAAAATGAGAAATATTTTCAATCTAAAATTACATTTAGAAAATGCGTCTCGGGATTAAGACCTCGACCTTATGTACACTCTAGCTAATAATTTGTGCGTATTTTGCGAAACTGAATTTATTTTAGAAGACCTACAGTATAATATTCAATACTTCTACAAGAACGTGGAAAGTAAAAATAAAAATTAACGCCGTAAAACTAACGTATAGACAACTTAACGTACGCAACAAATCAAGTTATTATTTTTAGCAAGTTTATTTTCGGACAGGTGATTCTTATAAAAAAACAGGACAAATAGCAAGTTAGTGAAACGGTCTACTAGTTGAATAGGCAATTAAAAACAAATTTACTCGGTTTCTATCAGCAAATTAATAAATTGATAAATTTAGCCTTTTAAAACATGTAAAACCGAATTCCGCTCAAAAACGTTTTTCGTTAACAATGAATAATCGTTAAGTACAAATATACATTAAATTCCCGTTTATATTCTACCATCCCGACTTCTCACCTACAATATTGGCCCACTTATTGTGCAAAATGAGTATGTAATTTTTTTATATATTGATGGTAATTTTTCTTTGTTTTTTTCAGTGAGTGGCAATCGCCAAAAACCTTTGTTTTTGAAAAATCAAGCTTGAAGAAAATTACACTACAAGGTGACACAACTCAACCACTGTATTTCATAGTTGATTTTTAAATTTGAATTTTTAATTTATTAATTTGATGTAATTTAAAAAAAAAATGTCTTCCTATTCTCTAAAAATGTATTAAACTCATATATTTATTAAATGTTTACTTGAATTGTAAATACTTTTTAACACAATAGGTATAGCGTTTGACGTAAATCGTTTTTGTTTTTTTTAGGATTTTCAAACCATATTTTTATTCTATACTTTTAGACAATTTTAAATTTTTAAATCTTTTCAAATAATATGAATCATATTATGTATTTTTTTATATTTACAATGAATTCTTTTAATCTGTTTTTTAAATCTGTAATTTTTTTAAAAAAATTATTGTATACCTACTTTTAAAATATTTTGAATTATCTTTTGACGTCAGTTTAGAAACATTTTAGAAATTATTTTGTTTTTAAAACCATTACATATACAGTTTAATTTAAATGTATAACGTTTTAAAGATTATTAATTTGAGCCTTTTTAAGATTTAACTTATATTCTTTTAGACTCTGAGCGAAGCCGTTTATAATTTTTTGTAAAAATATTTTTGAATCTATATTCCATAGAATCTATGTTTTACATTTCTATTATTTATTTTTTTTTTTTATCTATTCTTTTAAATTCCGAGTGAATTGAATTAGAATTTTTTTCGTGTATATTTATTTGTTTAGACTTATATTTTTCAAATATATATATATATAAATGCTTAAAAAAAACTTGTTAATTATATGCTTGTCTATATTGTATTTTACGATTTCACGATTATCTTATTGATGTATATTTTTTTATTATTATAAAGCTGTTAACAAAGACATAGAAAAAATCGATCTTAGAACTTTTGTAAAAAAAACTTACTACGTATACGCTCAATTGTTGAAAAGTTGAACGTGAGTTAAATTTTCAAGCATTTTGTTTGATAAATATAATATATATTTATATAATAAATGTTTTCTTAGATAAAAACAAAACATATCTTAGTTAAATAATAGCTTTATCGCAGCGATCATAATTACTGTGTATCCATAGTTCGTATCCAAAAGTTGAATATTTTTTAAACAAATATTAAAAATTAAAATGCTTTATTCCAATGGAAATAAATAAAATAAATTTAAATTTAACATATTTGTTTGATCGTACTGTATTACTAAATATTATATTATATTGTGTAGACGCATGTATTATATATGATATAATAGTTTATTATATTATAGTCAATTAGTATATTTTATTGTTTTAATTCTTTTGTCGATGAGAGCCTTGACATTTTTGTACATTCCGTTTTTCGTTAGAAATACATTTTTATCACACCAACCAACTTATTATTCAATTGTTTTCGTCCAGCACACTGGGTCACACTGACAATTTTCGTAAAAAATTGGTTTATTGGCACACACATAACCATTGATTTAACAGATATTCAACTATTGATTGTGAGCAATAGTCATACGCGCGTATTTGTTCATCTCTCAGCTAGTAGCTACGCTTGATGACACCGTGTAAAACAATAAAATATAGTATGCATGGAAGAATGAAAACAAAAATAAATATTTTAGTTATGTATAATTTATTATGCAATAATATATAAATATCATTATAATATTACGTCGTTGTACCCAATGCCTGAATAACTGAAATGGTCGCCAAGTTCACAATCCTAGTCTGAGCCCTATAGTTTATATATTTATATCAGGGAAAATTACAGAAAACAATTTCGGAGGAAGGGGATTAACTTCTTCGCGTTAACCACCGATCTATATAATTTAAGGATACTCTGTAAA